CAAGATTGAGCTCAGCATTTATTTTTGGTTGAACTTGAGATCTTTACATCTGTTTTCTAAGACTTCTTTAATTTGATTTCTGATATGAAGACTTTCTTTCTTCTTGCATACCATTCTGAGGCTATGCTCAATTTTAATGATCTTTGATAACAGCTCTGGAATTTCTTCTCGTGATTGGGGTGAAGCTATTTCTTCTTCGACAGATTTACTAAGCCTTCTTAGTTTCTGGATAGTCTTTTCTATATTTGTTAGAATTCTTATATCCCAGTTGGCTTGTATTTTCTTTAAAAGAAAGTAGATTTTGTTAGCTTCCCTGTAGGCTTCAAAGTCTTCCTTTGGAATTGCTAATTCAGGCTTTGCTTTTTTCTTTATATAGGGAGTAGAGTAAATCTTTTTTTTTTGAGATGTTTGTAAGCACTCTTGATAACTGTTGACTCGAAATAATGTCAGGCCTCTTCAAGTTCTTGGAGACTATTCTTTATACTTGGCTAGGAAGGTTGTGGATCAGTTTTTGAAAATTTGTTCTCTATCCAGCATTTAAATTTCTCTATTGTTCTGCTGTGGAATTTATTGGGTCAAGTATTTTCTTTTCTTTTGTTCTACATTGTTCCTGTACTTAATTTTTGAGCAAATTGTTTGTTGTCATTCTTGTCAGTAATAAAGTATCGTCACTATTTGACAATGTTTCTTTGGGGATGTTTTTGAATTCATATATGTTATTTAAACTAATTTCTGATAGTGTCCAGATATAGTTGATTCTAATATATAATATATTGTTTGCACATGTGAAGGTAGTGTTTTCTTCTTTCCAAGAGTTCTGGATATCTATATAGTTTTAGTCTTTTAAAAAGTTGAAGAGACCTATTTCAGCTTTCCTATATCTTGGTATCTTTTTGTCAGTGAGTGGCTGATCTGCTATTGGGTTAATGACTGCATTGAAATCTTTTATGATTATGACCAGTTTAGCTATAATATATATTATGTTGCTCGAATGAAAATATACTTATATTTTTAATTAATTAATAAACTAACAATCTAACTTGACTATAGGTGCTTAAAAAAAAAAAAGTTAATTAATATTTCATTCTTATTTTATTTTTTAAATTGAATTAATTTATATATTAAGTTTTATAAAATCAATAAGATATAATTAACAAGTTTTCAAATATGAACTCTTTTCGCGATCCTCTAACTACATACAAAAAAGATATTTGCAAGAAGTTTTATATTTCTTTGCTAATAAAGTCTTTATACTTTTATTAAAACAACTTGAAGCTTGTCTTTATATATCTTTCCTACCTTTCCTTACTTGTTTATAAACTTCTTTGAATAAAAACTTAAGCCTCTAGTGACCTGAAAAGACTCAAGTACATACTTTCTCTATTAAGGGCAAGAAGGTTCTAGAAAGTAAAAGAACTAACAAGTGGAGTGTCATCTTACAGAGTTAGAAGTGATAAGAAATAGAGGTTTTGTTGACAGGGGAAGGCTTATTATCCACCTTTTCTCTGTTTGACCCTGAATTTTTGATAGTATAACGTCACCTGGCATCTGATTAGTTGACATGAAACATGTTAGTAACTGAATATAAATAAGCTCCTATTGGTTATCTTATGTGTTCTGATGATGTTATTGATAATAGAAAGAGTTGATTGATGTTTCGTGTCCATTCCATTTCTCCAATTGGGTTAACTTACAGATTAAATTTCATGAAACCAATAAGATACGAGCAACAAGTCCCTAAGTGGTAAAAAAGCTACTATTCATTCAAGCTGAGATCTTTCTTTCTTATCATCCTGATTAAGCAAAATTCAAGACCAAGGTTTTCTTTTTATCCTGGTCAAGCAATAAGACCAAATGATCTTTAGTTCATACTAAGCTTCAACCCTTTGGTTATAGTTAAGAATGCATTTTTCAGAAGTTGTTAAAGGATATTGCAATTGACGAGAATCCCCACTGCTCTTCTGGTACCCTCCCACCATTATGAAGCAAAAAGATCTTTGGGGAAAGACTATTTTAGGCAATAAAAGATATACATCAGTAAAATTCCTTTAACTAGGCATGGCTGCTGAAAGATATCATATTGAAACAATATGATTCAGTCCCTACTAGATCACATAAGAACCTGGGGTCTATCATAAGTTGTTCTCCTATTATAGGTAAATAAAAAATTACTGCCCAAAGAAGATTGGGACTAAGTGTGTTTTGGAAGTAAAGGCTCTTACTAGATAATAAGTCTCTTCAGATGATACACAAGAAGAAAATCAAGATTAAGAATGAATAAGTTCCTCAGACAGTCAGGAAAAGAAAGAATATCCCAATCGGGCATTTCTTATTGAGAAGAGGTCTTGAGAAACAGGTCTTTGGAAGAAGCTGAAAATATTTTTTCATTTTTTACTCTTTTATTTTCTTGTGGTCTACTTAGACATTTTTAAATATTCCCCTCCCCTTTTTTCAACACATCTTTTTGTAATTTCCTGTAATCTAGCAGCTTGGTCAGATATATAGCAATGACAACCTGCTGGCAATGATACAGTGGACTAGGAGGGTCTTTATCCAAAGACACTGCAAAGTGAAATATTGTCCTCAAGGTTGAACTTAGAGACTTTTATGCTTACAATGAGTTTGTTAGATTAGAAGAATAGTTTAGCTGTAGCATGTACCATGCTGCTTGAATGAAAATGTACTTATGTTTTCAATTGATTAATAAATTCACAATCTAGCCTGGCTACAGGTACTCAAAAAAAAAAAAAAAAAAAAATAGCAATATTAGTAATTATAAAGATATTCATCAAAATTATCAATTAAGCAATAAATCACTTCCAAAGATACATGTAAAATTACTTACTGTAAACTAAAACAAACGAGTTATTTAGGAAATTGATTTTAGTAAAGCATAAAATTATGAACAATTTTCAAATGTTTAATAAAGCGCATATAATTAACCTGACGAAGGGTTTGATATTGTATATATGTATATACTGTATATGCATATAGTTTGTCATGTTATGTATCATTTTTATTTGTTATTTATGTTCGAGGTTGTATATCAAACCCATCTATTTTCATACGTTATTGCTTTCATCAAATAAACTGTTGTATCCTTGAAATTTTTCAATAGTTAAATAATGATACGATCGATGTCTTATTGTCCATGATTCATCATTCTACAGATTTCAAAATTTTATGTTCAAATGGGTTGAAACAATTGAAAATAAATATGATTATCTTTAATTACTATAACTTATTCTTTATAGATTTTAATTTTATTATTTTATGCTTCTTAAAGATTTTAAGTCACAAAATAACTAATATAAAAAAATCCCAATTAAAATTACGGCTGTAAGGGCGTTTCTTGGTTTGTGATAATTCAAGAAATTGTTTGTAACTATTTTTATAGTATTATTCAACCCCAGAGACGAGCTCAAAGTCAAGTACGTAGTCTATAATTCCCCATCCAGGGGTAACAATGATACGTATATACTGTATTAGATTATATTATTTGATTGAAACGCATTGCTGTACGACATCTAATACACTTGGCTACCGAATGAAGAAGTTTTCGATCGAGTCATTGTGTACAGTGTAAAGTTACGGTTTCCGATCTGTTTTCAATGATTGTCCAAAAAAAAAAAAAAAAAAGAAACATCCGATATTTCATGGGAAAAAAAAAGTTTATTCTTTTTTCGGAAACGATACATGTATTTTACAAAAATTCAATATTTTCCCTTTGGACAAGTTATGCGTATATGGTACAAAATAGTTGACTAAAAAAAAAAAATATATATACATTTTTTTTCTCTCAAAAATTGGATTTCAAGGTCAAGGTCATGGATCGTTGAGAACAGAGATATCGATGGCGATCCGAGTACCACCCTTCAAGGAAAGAAAAAAGGGAAAATTGAGCAAACTGAATGGTCACTTGAAGGAATTCTAGATCCAAAGGAAGTAATATGAAAAGGTGAGTGAAACAATAGACGAGGAAAAAAAATTTTTTTTTTTGATTTTAATAACGCGACCTAAAAGGAAAAAAAAAGAAATTTTACCAAGAAATATGAAAACCAAAACATGAGATGAAGAAAAACAAAAATAGAATAAAATCCTAAAAAAGTTATGCGAAAAAGGGAATTTTAAGCCAATTTTTTTTGTTTTTTTTTTTAAGGTATAGCTTTTTAAATTTTTTTTTTAAAATATATATTTTTTTATAGACCTTAAAGAGACGAAATATGAAAAGAAGAACTTTGTGGAATTTTTGTTGTTTTTGTGAGTTTTTTTGCTTTTTTTTTGTTGTTTTGTTTGTTTTTTGTTTGCAGCATATGTCTGTATAGAGAATTCCCGAAAGAATTTTTCGACTTAAAAAAAAAAATTTTACCATAAACAAAAAAGAAGTTTTTTTTTTTTTAAAAGAAAAAAAAAAAGATAAAAAAGAAAAGATAAAATCGATTGTAATGTATTTTAGTCCATTACGCCAATGAAGGAATAATACTTGGCATTTCGTTTATAAATAAGCAAATGTGGGCTGAATGTGGAATGACCGATAAGGAAAGGGTGTATGAACTAAAAAATCATTTACTAGGAGGTATGGGAGGATCGAAGGTGGAGTTAAAAAGAAACTAAGTTAAGAAAAAACGTTATGTTAAGTAAACATACAGTAGAAAAAAAACGCGGATATAACACGAGATTGCTATGCACCATAAATTGGAACGTGGAAATCAGGAGACATGAAGAATACAAGAAAGCGAGCAAATATGAGCCACCAACTACGATATTCAGATTGTTGTTTTTTAAATTCATACGGATATGAAAATCCGACCAATGCATGAAGATAAGCGATGAGACGCAGGCATAAAAAAAAAAAAAAAAAGAGGGAATCATATATGAAAAAAGCCCAACCGGGAAGAACTTAAATTCGTGTAAAGAGAAAGGATAACTTTTTGAGAGAAAGTGATACGTGTAAAAGATTGAAACATAAAATCATCTTGAATCTATTATCCGTCCCAAAATCAATATATAGGATTCTGTCTAAATGTGGAACTCGGTGCATTATTATCAGGATTCATCTGCGAACTGTCCCCGAAGCCCTCTCTAATAATCGGACTGGGTAAAATGTGAAAGTAGCTATTGGCCGTAGGCGGGGACAAAGAATGTGAAGGGGACGAGAGTGAAAAAGATGATAGCGAGATGGAAGGAAATGATGAAATGGATGATGGTGAAGTGTTACTTCGAATGTTTGCATCTTCACTGCTTCTAGGAGACGCGTGATCCATCGCCAGTGAGTCCCTTCTACCTCCCTTGTACTCGAGGTCCCACTTAAACAGCGGAGGAGTGGCCAACGGCGGTGTTTGTATTTGAGGCATCGTGTACTGATTCTTGTGCTGCCCACCGTTACTCTGATTCATCACGCAGGGACATAATTTTCGGAAATCGTGAGTGAAACTTAGCGGGCTGCAGTTACAGATTCTTGAAGATGATGGAGCCGCCGACGCCATGGACTGCGAGGTGGATGGTGGTAAAGGTGGTGTAATTGGTACGTCGAGTGATGTCGTACTCTTGGGATGGATAAGTATGTTGGGATCGGTGTTGATCGGAAACGGCAGGCGTTTTGGTGTGGGCTTAATTATTTGTGGGTGCATTAATGATGATTGTGAATTTATGTTGTTTCTTGTACTTTGCGGAGAGTGGGAGTGGTGGGTGGCGGGTGAATTGTCGGAGTTGACTTTATGGATGTCTTCGTGACATATGATGGCGCCGATGGAGGTGACGGGGACAAAGCTCGAAGGTGACGACACCGTTTTCGCTTGTGCTTTACCTTGATATTCTTCATTCCCATAAGTAGAGTTATCAATCGCTGCTGTGGAAGTTGCATTCGATAGCCTACATTGTTGCGGGCGCATCGACGTGACATGACATCTGTCGTTCGACGATGGTGATCGACCGTTATTGCGCCGTTGTGATGCGGCGTTAGCCTGACGACGTTGCTGTTGTGGTTGATTTTGTCTGCTGCCAAATGTTTGCACAAAATTCATTCGGAGTAGTTGAGGCCTGAATGATGGTCCATTGTTTTTGGTAAATTCTGTTTTCTTTCTTAGTGAGAAGGCCGAAGTTGTACGCTGCGTGATGCGTTCTTTGTTGGTGAGAACGGGAAGCCATAGAACGGGTTTTGGTGGATTTATAAAGAATTCCTCGCCGTCATCGGAAATTCCTTCTGTGCTGAGGAGATGTCGGTTGACGAAGAAAATCGGTCGAAATTGAAATCTCTTCCTCGATTGGGCGGAAGAGTTGTTGTTGGCATTCGCAGATGAGGCGGGAGGAGAGGTGTGCATGAACTTCTTAAGATCTTCCGTCATATTAACCAGGTTACGGTATAATTTCCGGACGTTTTTCTCGTGTTGACTACGCATACTCCTCGAAGACTGTTCGGCGACCAACAAATTCTTTATGACATCCAACGGGAACGCCGAATTCAACAATTGATTACGAAAATCCAACACCATCAAATTCTCATGATGGTTCACACTACTCATACTTCCGTTGGCCTCCAATGAAGCGCCTATTGCGGAGAGCAATTCCGGCAATTTATCTACCTCACACTGTACAATGTCGCGTACGTCACTGACACTAAGGCGCGTGTGTTGAAAACATTTGAGTTGACATCTGTAGAGTATTCGGGAGCACAGCAACATCAGGGCAAAGTCGTGACGTTCAGGAGATATGAGATCAATGTCGATCAAACATTTTTCCTCACGAGATGTCAATCGGCTTTTTACTTTAGGCATTATTTTGATTCTTTTTTTTTTTTTATCGTGTAAGCGGAAGAAAAAAAAAGTATATATATATATATATATATATGTATGTATATGTATATATTTTTATTATTCTCTCTTTTTTTTTTTTTCCAGGCGAGTTAAATAAAACGAAGTTGAGATCGATGTTTTTCGTGAACACGAAAGAATCGTTGAAAAAAGTTTTTTCTTCGGACAGAAAAACGTGAAGGGTATTTGTATGTATGGTCTGGGGCACAGCAATATTGTTTGTTATATAAATTCGTGAATCGTTAATTGTTCTATTTATTTGTTATATGAGAGAGGCCAGGAGAGTGTCTCTCTTAGGAATACGTGCACATGTATCTAAGAATGCGTTTGTATATTGGGAAACTAGACGAAAACGTTAAGGATGACGAAATTTTACGAATTCCGTGGCGGAAAGATGCTGTGCTTTTTGCGGAGAATTTATACATGACAAGTTTACACAAGAAACCTTGAGCGACTTTCGTGGACTGATTGAGCGAAGGATACGTCGCCAATGCGAAATTCACCCAGAGACCGAATAAATAATAATTTATGCCGTTAGTAGATCGCAAATCTGAAGTTATTAAAGCAAGCTAAGCTGATTTATGCCTTGGGAGCTCTGACGAACGGTATTATTGATATTATTTATTATTACAGTACCTACTATTATTCCTCTTCTTTTTTTTATTGACGCGTGTTGGCGAAAAGAAAGATGATCAACTTTTTGAGGAATTGTTGACTCCAAAAAAGTATGAATGCCGGGACCCAACCCAAAAATAGTGGTGAATTTGAGTTTTTGGAAATAAGGATGTAACCTTGCAGAAAAGACCAAGGATAGTTGATTGGTTTTTTAAAAAAGGAAAGAAAATAACTGGACGGCGGTTATGATCGATCACCAAAAAATTTTTGTCGGGATCCTTTATAATGGTGAAAATTGAAAACACACAATGTTATAATTAATTCGATTCGCATAAATGATCAATTTCCATTATAGAACGTGTGACGAGATACTATTATTCAACTGGATAGGAATTATTTAAGTCACTGTTGTTGTGTTTTCTTTTCTCCGGAGATTTCATTCAAAAAAGTTTCTTTTTAGAACACGTTTGTCAATGCATTATTGTTATTACACTTCTAGCGGTATTTTTGGTGTCCTCCAGTTCCACATTATAAGTGGTGTTCCTTTTTTTTTTTTTTTTTTGTTTTTTTTTTTTTAAAAAAAAAAAACAAAAAGCAAGAAATAAAAGAAGAAAAGAGGAAACACATTGAAAACCAAACTCGGCGATTCATTGAGGTTTTCTCCGATAGATCATTGGTCAAAACAACTCCAAAGAAAAGGAAGTACAAGTGATCCCAAAGAAGAGGGTAATGTAAGTAAAAATAGTACTATGCGATGTAATGCGTCAATGAAAACTTGCTTTATATATAAATGTAATGCGTACCAGTGATTCATTTCTTTGCGGCGTACAGGGGTGAAAAGGAGGAGGGAGTCTTTCTTTTTTAATTAAACACGGAAAAGGAAATTTTCGTCTAGAACGCGCGTGTGAGGGCTGCAATTATTGATGATAAGGTTAGCTGATAAGCGAATCAGTATCACCGTTGATTTGTCTGACAATCGAATTAGTGAATGCAATAAAATATTCCCTGAAAAATGTGTCACCATCGTTAATAACAATGCATGGCATGGTAATCGGACGGTAGTCGAAACTATTAGTAACTCAACGTGTGCCACGCGTCTACGAATTAAAGGGCGCATTAAGAACCCATCGTCTAACCGATTTTACTCATTTTGCCCGTGAAGCATCGTTTATGCATCAAAAAAGGAAACATATTAATTTCTTCGTTCAAACGGCCAATTATTGGTCACACGTTATTCGATATGTACATTATTCTTATTAAGCAATTGGGCTTCAGGATGTTCAATTAAATTATGAAAGTTGGTGATGCTTAGACATGGAAAAAATATATCGAGGAAACAATGAAATCATTTTGGAGGTACAACGCATTTCGGACATCAATGGTACTACCATTTATCGACAAGAATCGAAATTATTGTGTTGACGTACGTCACTTTGGAAAAATTCATAATTTATTGGTATTCATGGTAATAATGTTTGTAGGAAATACAATGAGATTCGGTGTGCTTGAATATCACCACATGCATATGTTAATACCAATTGGATAACAAATTATAATTTCACGCGTCCTCCTCTTGAATGATTTTTATGCCAACGTGGCAGTCAATTTCGTTGATGCGCTATATCAACGTGTAAAGCAGAAGATTCGCACTGCATCGAGAAAAACAAAAAAAAAAAAAAAAAAAAATTCTACGTGCATAAGGATCATGAAAATCGCGTTGTTCATTTTTTTCTGATATTAATTAATTATACTAACTATATCCATGCTGATTAAATCCACATGAGCAAAAGAGGAATTATTGTTTTATTTTGTAAGAGCATCTAATTACTCAAAACAAGTTTACTTGTTCCTTAACCACGATTGTCGACCATATTTGAAATCTGTCTTGATTTTGGTTCAAAATTCTGTTTGTTTGGTTCTTTTTACATTGCCTTTTTATTATTATTATTATTATTTTTCCTTCGGCATTAATTCGATTTCTATTTCGGCGAGCACTACGTATAATGGCGATTTTCTTTAATGTGCCGACTCTATTGAAAAATTGTACAAAATAAGATTCAGAAAACAGCCCTACGCATGCATCCTCATTATAGAATACTCCATTTGAATGTCATAAAATTTTGGCGTGAAATCTGTGAACATCGCTTCGAAGGCGTTTATTGTCACGTTGAAAGAATGACATTATGTTTGAAAAGCAGGAACAATATCATTTTGAAGAATGAACTGCGGCGCACGAGTCTATAGAAACTCGGGGGATTGATAAATGCATTGTTTGATAATAACATTCATAGCAAGTGCACCTTTCCAATGGTGGGAAACAATGAGATAACATACCCACGAACGAGAATTAATTCCTCTCATGCATATTAACGATCGGCAGGTGAAAATTAATTGTTTCCATAAACTTAAACCTTTTTAACGCGCCATTAGCACATTTCTTTAAAGCCCCAAAACACAATCATTCGATTCAAGATGACAACTGGAAGAATTAAAAATATTAAGGGGCGTTACCTTGCTGGTAAAACCCGAGCATTGATAATTGATTTCTAGATTAATCAAAAATTTCTAAAGATAATCAGGTATTATTCGTTAACGATTTAAGCTTGTATTAGGATCTTTGATTTAAAAATGGTTATTTAGCCGCAATGCATAAAAAATAATAATAATTTTTTTTTTTTATATAATAACGGCTCGTTACTACAATCAAAAATTTTTTCTTCTCGAAAAAAAAAAAAAAAAAAAAAAAAAAAAAAAAAAAAACTAAAAAAAAAAAAAAAAATCATTTCTTTTTTTTTTTTGCAATTTTATAACGAAATCATCTAATTTTTATATAATTGATTAATTGATTAATCGAATAAATCTTCGCATTATATTAATAATTGTCAAATTTAGATTAATGTAAACTAAACTCATATACAGTATTTATAATTATTTAAGTAATACGCATTAGTATTCTACAATGTTTTATAAAATATTTATTATAACTGTTATTATTTTTGAATTAAACATCTTGTTAATTTTTTCGTCGAAATATCCTATAGGTGCAATCGGTTGTTCATTCATAATTATTATTTACTTTCCCTTTAAGTTTCTTATTCGATAGCATTATGAAAGAAATAATTTTTGCAAAACAAAAAAAACAAACGAACGAACGAACGAAACTTCATAATACGAAAAAACCATTTCCGAGAATAACATAGTGAACCATTCTAAACATATGCCTTTGTGTTATACGTAGATTTACTGTACCATCAGTCTGTACGTGCGATGCGTCTATAATTAGTTATGTGCTAACACAAAACTTATGAACATTTACGTAATGAATGTATGTCCGTCTTGCACTTTTTACAAGCAAACTCTACATTCGTGTTACATGATACGTATATACTGTACGTATTACGCGAGCATTTCTCTAAGCCATCAGAAGTAAAAACTGATAGAGAAACTTTCAACTACTGCTGTTGTCGTTAGAGTTGAAAAAAAGGGGTGGTAAAGTGAAAATTTCCATCAGTCAATACGTCTATAATTAGTTACATACTACGTACCATAATTCGTTGTACAAATTTACGTAATGAATGTATGTCAGTCCCGCGATTGATTACATACTTGCTTTTTACAAGCATTCGTGTTACTTACATACGTTATATAAATGCGAACATTTCTCTAAGCCGTCAAACTGATGGAGGAATTTCTGATTGAAACGGTTGCCAAAGTTGGTGTCATCAGAGCATTACGTGCAATACCAATTGCTGGAAGTACCTTGGCCGATATTGCTCAAGATATTATAAATATAGTGGAAACTTCCAAACATAATAAAGAGGATTGCAAATATATTTCTAACCGAGTACAAATAAATTTAGAAATTATAATTGAAAACCGACTACAAGGTTATGTCAAGAAGTCATTAGAAGCTTATAAACATATGTTAATTGAAATAAAAAATCATGTAAATGAAATAAGTCAAATGACTTGGTACATGAAAATAGAAAAAGCAAATTACGTAAGTTCTGTATAAGCGTCAATAAAATTTGTTTTTTATGAAATCAAGGAATTTAATATTTTCTTTCTATTTAAGGTTAAAGCCAGGAATGAAGAATTGCTGAGGAAACTATGGGATGCCACAAATGATTTCTATAATAGTGTGTCACTTGGTACCAATATGGTAACAAATGACACAAATAGATTAGTACATGACATGGGACGGGACATTAAGATGTTGTTAATTCTATAGGCAGAATTACTATTCAAAAAAAGCTTGAGAGAACAGAAACATCTAGTTAATGAGCTTGAAACAAAACAATTGCAAGAACTCGAGATAGATAATTTGACATGCTACGTTGACCCGCAGT